AGTTTCGTTCTGCAGTAATTGTTGGATTTCCAGATTTGCCTCATCCTTCCAAAAGCAGCTCTAGCTTTGTTCAGACATGACTGAATGTCTTCCTCTGTCCCTCCCAATAGGGACACCACACTGCCAGGATATGTGAAATGTTCAACATTTTCAAGTGATTGGTTACTTATGGTCACTGGTTGTTGGTTTGGACTGTTTGTCATGATCTTAGTTTTCTTTGTATTTATTCTCAGTCCCACAATTTCTGCTATGCAGTTTAGTCTGTTACTTTTCTCTTGTTCATGTTTATGTGATAGGAGCGCTATATCATCTGCAAAATCAAGGTCCTCAAGCATGGTGAATGGAGTCCATCGTATGCCTCTTAATGTCCTGTCTACTGTGTTCTTTAGTATCCAATCAATCACAAGGTTGAAGAGGAGAGATGACATAACACATCCCTGTCTTACACCCGTCTTTACTGGGAAGATGTATTGTAATTTTTTATACTGCAGGAAAAGTCTTTATAGAAGAGAGCAGTTATGTTGACTATTTTTTCTGGAATTCCATAATGTTGTAAAAATTTCCACAGACCATCCCTATGGACGCTGTCAAAAGCTTTCTCAAAGTCCACAAAATTAATATATATACTTCTCTGCCATTCGTTGCATTGTTCTAAAATGTTACATATGGCGAAGATGTGCTCAGTTGTTCCTCTGCCCTTTCTGAATCCTGCTTGTTCCACTCGTAGGCATTATCTACTCCTTTTTCAAGCCGCATTATGATAATTTTGCAAAATATTTTGCTTGGTACTGAGAGTAGAGTAATTCCCCTCCAATTATTGCAGTGTGTTAAGTCTCCTTTTTTGGGGATTTTGACTATTGTTCCTTCAGTCCAGTCATCAGGCAACACTTCTTTTTCCCAAATATCCTTGAACAATGGTTCTAGAATGCTAGCAGTTGTGTTGGATCTACTTTGAGAAGTTCTGCTGGCAGTTCGTCTTTGCCTGGTGCTTTGTTGTTTTTTAAAGTGTGGAAAGCTTAAAGGATTTCTTGTTTGCTTGGTGGTTCAGTAATAATGTCAATGTCCTGAGAGGTTTGTTGAATATTTGGGGGATTTTCAGGATCAGGTCTGTTCAAGAGGTCGGAGAAGTGTTTAGTTCACTGCATGTCTTGTTTTTGTTCTGTGGTGAGCAGTCTGCCTTAGTTATCTCTGATCGGTATGCTGTGATAATTGTTTCTGTTTCCGCAAAATTTGCTGGGTAATACTGTGTAGGGTTTGTAGATCATGTGCTTTAGCAGCATTTTCTGCTGTTTCTGCAAGATTTTCCATAAATCTTCTCTTGTCAGCTCTGGCACTTTTCTTGGTCATTTTATTTAGTTTGCTATATTCTAACATTAGTTTGTCTTTCTGACGTTCTGATTTAGTGTGATTTATGAGGCTCTTTATTCTTTTTCGCTTGGCAATATAGTCCATAGTTTGACTACTTATCCATTCTTTGTGGTGTTGTTTCCTGGTTCCTAATATGTTATTACTAGTTGATTTGTATGTTTCTTTGATCTGGTTCCATCTGTCTTGAATGCTGATTGTAGTTCGAGTTTCTGTGTCACCTGATAAGGTTTGAAATCTATTCTTGAGTTACCACTGTGTTCAGTGCAAGTCATACCATTTTTTTTATGTAGTCACCACAGCGTTCTTCTTCTTCTTTGCGTTCAGTTTCGTATGCGCAGATCAGACTATCAGGTGGGTTGCCTCTGTGAACTCACCTGTCAGTAGCAGGTCCCTTATGGTTCTTCATAGCTTGCTCTGCACACTTTGCTTTTAAACCAAGGTGTCTTTTCGAATGTGTATGTAGAGTGGGCAGGTCTGCAGAATATGCTCATGTGTTTGTGGTCCTGTTTGACAGGCACACTGTGGGGACTGTACAGTCTTTATTTTATGCATGTGGTAGTTGAGCCTGCAGTGTCTTGTTCGTATACGGAAAATTGTTGTACGTTGCTTTCTGTTAAGTTTTCTGATGTAGACTTGTGGATGTATACTGTTAGTTTGTTCTCTCCACAATTCCTTGTATTTATACTTGATAAGTGTTCTGATTTCAGAGGATGTGTGTGTTGTTTCTCTTTTGTTCCATTTTTAGCAAGTCTTTCTGCTAACTCATTTCCTGGTATGCCGCCATGAGCCGGAATCCATGGAGAACGATCTGATTGTATTCTGCTAGTCTTTTTAGCTGGCGGCTCAGTTCTCTTTCCATGTTGTCTTATGGTACCCTCTGAGTCGCCTGGAAGACTGACATGCAGTCAGAAAGAAAAACAGTTTTGCTGTTTTAAATTTTTCTTTCCTCAAGCACTTCACAATTGTGAAGTTTGTTGAGGGTTTTCTGGAGGCGCATGATGTTTCTACTGTGGTTCCATCTTGCAGCATGATAACCGATCCAGCTCTTTCGGTTTTTTCCCCCCTGCTCCCTCCATTGATTCATCGGTGTATACGTGTGTCCATTCAGGTTTTGGATAACATTTGTAGACATGTTCAAGAGTCTTTGCACCCAGTACTAGGTCACATTCTTCAGCCTTTCTGTCTATGCCTGGAACTGTTGTTGTGACTGTATAGTTAGGCTGTAGGTCAATGCTTTATGCCTGGATCATTTCCCACATTAAAGGATCTTTAGGAAGGATGTCACTGTTTTTCTGCATAGTACAATTTTGATAGATAGAGCTTTGTATTTTCAGTTTGTTTTTAGTTAGGTTATTTGCTATTCTGTGCTTGGGGGTTGTTGTTCACGAGTTTAAATTTATCTGTTAGGGTAAGCATCTTGATTTCCATTTGAAGGTTCATGCTCTGGAGGCAGAAGTTGCCTCCAGCTCATGGATTCGTGTGCTTCTCATACCTCCAGTGATGATTCTGAGACCAGTGTTGCATATTTTGTTCAGTTTATGTAGTTTGGTTTGGCTGCAGTGGAGTATGCTCCCATGCCATACTCCAGTTTTGATTGTACGTATCCTGTGTATACTTGTCATACAGTGTTGGCATCTGCGCTCCAGCTTGTTCCAATAAGTTTCTTTATAAGTGTGAGCCTCAGGGTAGCTTTCCTTTAGGTGTCTTCAATGTGGGGGCCCCAGGGTAGTCTTGTGTTGAATGTTACTCCCAAATATGTGGGGTTATCCTCTTTTGGAAGGATGTTGCCTTCTAGGTACAGATCAACTTGTTCTGGCTTTTGTGGAAAGAGAGAAGAGAGTTGAGATGGTTTTGGTCTGGTTTATTGTAACTCCTCAAGAGTCTGTCCATTTCCTAACTGTATTTATAACTTTCTGCATTCTTGTTTTAGTTGTTCCTATATGTTCAGCTTGGGTCCATTTGGTGAGGTCTTCTGCCTGTAGGGCCATGTGAATGTGAGTCGTAAACTGGGAGATCATTGATGAAACAGGGTAGGAGAAATAACATCTCCCTGGGGACACCTTCTTGTAACCAGACCAACTTGCTCTTGTGTTCTTCCAGTCTGACTCTTGCACAGCATCTGTAAAGAAAGTCTCCAATCCAGGCAAACATAAACTTGTATCCCACTGTGTGCTAGTTTTAGCTAGAGTCCTTCCTTTCTTCCAGACCTTATCAGAGGCTTTGGTCAGGTCAAAGAAGGTAGCAAAGACCATGGAAAGATTAGAAAGACCACTGCGTTCAGTGCAAGTCATATCATTTTTTTGATATAGTCACCACTGCATTCAGTGCAAGTCCCCCCGTGCTTGGGTTCCTGTAGAAAATAATTCTCTAGGTCGTGTGTGTAACCGCTGCTGTAACTCCTCATCCAACCGAAATCCCTGTAGAAAATAATTCTCTAGGTCGTGTGTGTAACCGCTGCTGTAACTCCTCATCCAACCGAAATCCCTGTAGAAAATAATTCTCTAGGTCGTGTGTGTAACCGCTGCTGTAACTCCTCATCCAACCGAAATCCCTGTAGAAAATAATTCTCTAGGTCGTGTGTGTAACCGCTGCTGTAACTCCTCATCCAACCGAAATCCCTGTAGAAAATAATTCTCTAGGTCGTGTGTGTAACCGCTGCTGTAACTCCTCATCCAACCGAAATCCCAAGGACTCTGAGTTGTCCAGACAGGTGGAGATCACTTAGTGCTAGTCACTTAGGGCTGTATATAGGCAGGGGAGAGATCGGCAACGGATAGCTCATGAGCTAATATGCTGTTAGAATTTCTTTAGAAACAGAAATTAATGTAATCAAAGTATGCATGTTAAGCGAACAAATAGACTGAGTGAAATTGTGTTTAAATCTACTCTTCTTCAAGTCCATTCCGTGTGGCTTTGGTAGTTGTCTATCCGCAGCCTACTGTCTTGTGTACTTTTTGTCAACTCTGATACGGATGATCCTCAGTGCCATGTCAGACTGTTCAGCAAGCATCTTCTCTCTTGGTCTCCCTCTGCCTCTTCTCCCCTCCAACTTTCCTACTGTTACGATGTACTCTAGTTTTCTCCTTCTCATGACAAGACTGAAGAATGTAGATTGTCTCTGTTCTGATGTGGAGATCAGTTCTCTTTGCAAGTCAGTTTCTTTCAAGACATCCTAATTATTTTTGTTATCTGTTCAGGGTCTCCTAGAAATCTAGTTCTGGTTTCATTTAAAGTCTTTCAAAAATTTAAAATTATAATGAATTTTTTTTAAAATTTGTAAAACATTGATGCAGATTTCTTCCTAATAGATCTGTGAATATGTACAAGTCAGGATCTTGAAATCAGATTTTATGAAGTGAAAGCCTCAGATACAGAATCTGAACCTAACAAGAAATGTTGATCAGTAATTTGAACATTACACATGGAAATTCTAACATAATCTCCTCTTTAACACTTACTTTTACACTTTTTTTTAAATGCTTTCTTTCCCCTAACATTTTTGCTTTTTTTTTTACTTTTTCTCTTCTTTTCTAATAAATTAAGGAATGGCTGTAATTTGATCAGTGCATCTTGATATTTTTCTTGGTGAGGAAACAAATAATGCTTTTGCTGTTTTTTTTTTTGTATTAAAGAAACGTAGGGAAGAAGAAAAAAGGTTGCAAGCAGAAGAGGAATTTTTGAGAGCTTCTTTAAGAGAATCAAAGAAATTGCGGGCCCTGGAAAACAGTAGATCTGTCGAATCAGCACCTACAGGACTTGTGAACACTGGGTACGATGGTGACGAAGATGCTGTTGAATCAAAATCACATTCTAGGACAGTATCAGATGTGATGCCAAGGGAGCCATATCTGAGGAAAAATATAGGTGGGTGCACATTTCTATATCCTGAGATGAAAGGTGACTGAATGGGCACAATAAATGACATGCTGTGTTAAAACAATGATTGCCATTGGTAAAATATAGGCTTCATTTGACTAGTGGAGATTTATGCTTATTTTAAAGTCTTGAAAATATTGAAGAAGATGACACTTTATTTCGTAAACTAGTTTTCAGTTTTCTGTTTATTTATGCTGTTGGTAAAATGAATTGTGGATAGTAAGTGTGTTATTTTTAGGATGTAAATTTAAACCACCACTGAAACAGTGCAAGCTTTTAGTTTATTACCTCAAGGTCAAGGAAAGGTTTGCAAAGAATGACTGACTGAAAGAAGTACAGCAAGACATCTCCTGGTTACCTTTGCAAGTTACATGACCTATTTTAGAAACCACTGCATGATAAGACATTGACTGACTGACTGACTGAATTTCTACCCCACCAGGACATCACACAAGCGACAAACACCCGATGACACAAAGTGCCACCATGCGGATGAGGATCGCCGTGGAGAGGTCCCAGAAACCGCGTTCAGACATTTGGCCATAATGATGACCTGCCTATATTGCGGCCCCTGGCAAAAGCCAGAGTGGGGCTTCAAATAACAAAAAATTACGCCCTAATAAGGACGTTTTGAATAGATACTGAGAAGACATTTAGAGAAGGCTGTTGGCATTGCAGCTGAAGAGCTCTACAAATTGGTGGTTGATGAAATTTCTTCTTCTTCAAACACCTTCTTGACTAAGAGGGATGATCATGTCTCTTTAAACATATGTACAGTAATGTTCACTAAACTTGCACCGGGGCATTGTGTACAAGATTTGCTGAGATTAGAAAGGAAGTGAATAAATGCAATGTCATTAATGATTTTTAATAAAGTCAGATGGTTTGGTCATGTCATAAGGCTATCACAGAAAGTAGCATACTGCAACCACCATTGACATTTTGCTTTGTTGGAAACAACAGGAGGTTGTTGCTTTCCAACAATGAACCAAAGGATCAGAATGTGGAGGGCTCGGGCATACCTCAAAATATGTGCTGATAAGAAACACCCACTGCATCAAGCGCTTTTTAGTGAAAAGGGCGACAGACTGAAGAGGGGAAAATCGTGGCTAGGTCGGGCAGAAGATGTTATTAGGCAAATATGCAGCCTAACCGACATCATACCTGGTGCAGAATGGATACCTGTGCCTCAGGCGTTTATTTGTACATTTTCCTGTATTGTCACACTCAACAGGCGATGTAGAGAAGAGAATCCTGTTGCTGTTAATGCAGAGGTCAACGCTCTCATCGGTGAAAATTCAGACGAAGCAGATGCACTAATCTACACAGACGGATCCGTCATACGCCAAAGAAGAAGCGCATGGGCATTTACAGCACGCTCAGCGGGCAGAACAGTCAAAGAAGCCAACGGTGCCTTCTCCATGACAACCAGCAGCATGACAATGGAGGTGATGGCAGTTTGCCTGGCTTGAAACACAAAAATACACCCGCATATGTATACTCAGTGATTCAATGAGTATGATCCGGAGGGTTCAGGCAGGTTCAGTGCGAAGACAATGGCTTGAATCATTACAGAAGTCCACTGTGCGTGGAGTCACCTTTATTTTTGTTCCGGGACACGCAGGCGTCGATGGAAATGAAAGAGCTGACAGGTTGGCTGGATCCGCTATCACTACCGACGGTCGGCCTATGGATCATGCTGATATTATCAATGCCCTCAGAGAAATGGGAAGGATAGAGGACTTTGGTGGCAGTGAATCCACATCACTCGCCAGAATGGCAGACTTGGGAATTTAGATCGGCACAGCAAAAAACGAGACGCACACCGGACACGTCAGAAGACTTGTTAATCAACATAGAACTGGTACTATTAGCCATCGGACGTTGGGGTTCATACTGAGGGGAGGATCTGAGCACCTATGGACATGTCCGGAGTGCAATGACGATAACCCAACTAACTAACTAACTAACTAACAGGAGGTTGATCTCACAAACATTGAAACACTATCAAGACTACCAGATGAATGACAAAAAAGGTATTTGGAGGTCTTACAGACAAAAAATAAAATTACAAGAGGCATTTTAGAATGAAGGAGTCAAAGTACATCCATGACGTAGGTGTGAACTTTGGTCCTCCTCTGTGTATTTATCCATCAGTGCAGTTCACTTTTATTATCTCTTTTTGTTTCTGATGCCGTTTTTAGAAATCATTTGTGCGAGCCTGGAGCCACATCTCCGGTTGAGTAATCTAGTCCTGATTGTTTGAAAATAACACCCACAAAGCAGATTCTTCATTTTTGGGAAAATAGAGTAAAGGGTAAAGTTTCTGGGCATTTCAAGGATGCATTGACAACAATTTATGCCTGGAAAAGGTCAATATTTGAAGATTCTTATGGGTCGAAATGATTAAAAAAAAAACATTTGTAATGTATGTAATAATGCATTACATTCATTTGGTTGACTCAAATGTCACTTTTTTTCTGTTAGGACTAACTACTGTTTGTTTGCTCTAATGCAGGTGTAGATGACTTGTTCTCATGCCTTCATTACATTCGCAACAGTCTAACAACACCTGAGGAGCAGAAGTATATTTCTTTTTTGCGATTACTCTTCCAAAATGAATACTTTCAACAGGCAGTCAGCCTCCACAGTCAGGTAAATATTGTCAGGTGTGGTGAGATGTGCATGTTTTATGTGTCAGATGTGGGGAGATGTACATGTTTTATATTGTCAGGTGTGGTGAGATGTACATGTTGTATATTGTCAGGTGTGGTGAGATGTGCATGTTTTATATTGTCAGGTGTGGTGAGATGTGCATGTTTTATATTGTCAGGTGTGGTGAGATGTGCATGTTTTATATTGTCAGGTGTGGTGAGATGTGCATGTTTTATATTGTCAGGTGTGGTGAGATGTGCATGTTTTATATTGTCAGGTGTGGTGAGATGTACATGTTTTATATTGTCAGGTGTGGTGAGATGTACATGTTTTATATTGTCAGGTGTGGTGAGATGTGCATGTTTTATGTGTCAGGTGTGGTGAGATGTGCATGTTTTATATTGTCAGGTGTGGTGAGATGTACATGTTTTATATTGTCAGGTGTGGTGAGATGTGCATGTTTTATGTGTCAGGTGTGGTGAGATGTGCATGTTTTATATTGTCAAGTGTGGTGAGATGTACATGTTGTATATTGTCAGGTGTGGTGAGATGTACATGTTTTATATTGTCAGGTGTGGTGAGATGTGCATGTTTTATATTGTCAGGTGTGGTGAGATGTGCATGTTTTATATTGTCAGGTGTGGTGAGATGTGCATGTTTTATATTGTCAGGTGTGGTGAGATGTGCATGTTTTATATTGTCAGGTGTGGTGAGATGTACATGTTTTATATTGTCAGGTGTGGTGAGATGTACATGTTTTATATTGTCAGGTGTGGTGAGATGTGCATGTTTTATGTGTCAGGTGTGGTGAGATGTGCATGTTTTATATTGTCAGGTGTGGTGAGATGTACATGTTTTATATTGTCAGGTGTGGTGAGATGTGCATGTTTTATGTGTCAGGTGTGGTGAGATGTGCATGTTTTATATTGTCAGGTGTGGTGAGATGTACATGTTGTATATTGTCAGGTGTGGTGAGATGTACATGTTTTATATTGTCAGGTGTGGTGAGATGTACATGTTGTATATTGTCAGGTGTGGTGAGATGTGCATGTTTTATATTGTCAGGTGTGGTGAGATGTACATGTTTTATATTGTCAGGTGTGCTGAGATGTACATGTTTTATATTGTCAGATGTGGTGAGATGTACATGTTTTATGTGTCAGATGTGGTGAGATGTACATGTTTTATGTGTCAGATGTGGTGAGATGTACATGTTTTATATTGTCAGATGTGGTGAGATGTACATGTTTTATGTGTCAGATGTGGTGAGATGTACATGTTTTATATTGTCAGATGTGGTGAGATGTACATGTTTTATGTGTCAGATGTGGTGAGATGTACATGTTTAATGTGTCAGATGTGGTGAGATGTACATGTTTTATGTGTCAGATGTGGTGAGATGTGCATGTTTTATGTGTCAGATGTGGTGAGATGTACATGTTTAATGTGTCAGGTGTGCTGAGATGTACATGTTTTATGTGTCAGATGTGGTGAGATGTACATGTTTTATGTGTCAGGTGTGGTGAGATGTACATGTTTAATGTGTCAGATGTGGTGAGATGTACATGTTTAATGTGTCAGGTGTGGCGAGATGTACATGTTTTACGTGTCAGGTATGGTGAGATGTACATGTTTTATGTGTCAGGAAATGTAGGATACATATTCTTGTCAGTCTGGTAAAGTATGATAGATAAAGTGAGATAACACTTTAATATGTCATGCATAGTAGCTAAATAATTTTAAATATCAGGGAGGTAAATACTTTCAGATGTTAGGTAAAGTGAGATAGATACTTTCACTTATCATGTAAAGTGAGATAGATACTTTCAATAGTTATGTAAAGTGAGATAGATACTTTCACTTGCCATGTAAAGTGAGATAGATACTTTCACTTGTCATGTAAAGCGAGATAGATACTTTCACTTGTCATGTGAAGTGAGATAGATACTTTTGCTTGTCATGTAAAGTGAGATAGATACTTTTGCTTATCATGTAAAGTGAGATAGATACTTTTACTTGTCATGTAAAGTGAGATAGATACTTTCACTTGTCATGTAAAGTGAGATAGATACTTTCATATATCAGGTGCAGTAATGTGTATGTAGTCGTACCTCAGGAGATGGAATTTGTTCCTGACTATGGATTGTAGCTCAAAAAGCTCATATACCAAAACCTAGTTTCTCATTGCATCTTACAGAAAATCTATTCCGTTACCAGATTTGAAAAATTATTTTAAAAAAAAGAGTTTGTGTCCGTTAACTTTCTGTTTGTTTAAAATGGTTTCAGAGTGATAAACTAACAGAGGTTTTATCCTCAGATATCACCACTGGCAGTGTCACAAAAAAGTAAAGTTAGTCTGACCACTTGAACATTCTCTAAGCCATTTTCTTTCATAAAGCCCAGTTTTATCACAGTTGGCCGGTAATCGTCTACCATCAGTTTCTGAGATTTCTTCACAAACTTTTCAGTGGCTTTTTTCTTAACACTAGCACCTTCTTCTTGTCTAACAACACTGAATACTAGTTCTGTTCTGGGATTTTTCAAACTATCTTTCACTGGCTTAAAACTCTTTACCAATGTTGTTGCTACTAGAAGTAGCAGATGGCAAGTTCTGCAATATATTTGTAAATAGCTTGAACATGTAAGCAGTTCATATTTTGAGATACACTGTCTGCTTTCAGTTGAATATAATTAACCCAGATGAGTGGTAAAGTATATGTCTAGAGGCCTTTCCACCATCCGCCGCCTGGTGGACACACCTAGTAGTAGGACAGGCTCCTACCCCAGGAAGAGATGTATAGTGAAATAAAAAACATTTGTGTATAATACATAGTGAGATCAAATCTTTTTTAAGGCAGATAAAGTGAGGTAGATACTTTTGTAGGTCAGATAAAGTGAGATACTTTATATGACAGTTAAAGAGAGATAAATACTTTATATTCAGATAAAGAGAGATAAATAGTTTACAAGTTGGATAAAATGAGATATATACTTTATTTGTCAGATAAAATGAAATAAATACTTGTCAGATAAAGAGAGATAAATATTTTACCTGTCAGGTAAAGAGGGATAAATACTTAATATGTCAGATAATGAGAGATAAATACTTTACACATCAGATAAAGTGATATAAATACTTAATGTCAGGTAAAAAGAAATACATATTTTAATGTCAGGTAAATTGAGATAGATAAATACTTTGTATGGCAGATAAAGTGAGATAAATGTTTTATGTTAGATAAGTAGAGATAAATACTTTTCATGTCAGATAAAGTGAGATAGATAAATACTTTATATATCAGATATAGAGAGATAGATAAAAACTGTATATGTCAGATAAAGTGAGATAAATACATTCACATCTCAGGTATAGTGAGATAAATACTCTCATGTTTCAGTGCATCCTCATCATCAATAATGTCACATTGTAATTGGCCATGAAACATGTTCAGGTCAGTCCATAGTTGTCTGCCTTATGCTGCATTATCATTCCATGTATTGTCTGCATTGTAGATATGTACACACCCATGTTATAAATGTCCTTGGCCTACCCCATTCCTCATTTTCCTAGGATTGTGCTCTCCATTGCTCATTCAATATTTTCTCATGTCTTAGGCCAGGCCATGGGAATCCATAAACTTCATAGCAGCCTTCACGTTGAAAAACATCACATGACATTCTTATCTTGTGTACTGTTGCAAGTTTGCTTGGCTGACTGTGGTGTTTATTTTTCACTTTTCAGCTGGTTGAAATAACTGCTAGGTCGCCTCCAGTTAAACCAGTGACTGATGAGGCCGAGGAACTGCACAGTGAAGTCCAACATTATATTGTACAAGCTCATAACAATGGCAAAGCCCAGCAACTGCTTTCACTGCTGCAGAAACCAAATATCAAAGTAAGTTAGAATGCCCATCACATGTACTCTTGTTTTAGACAATCCTTGACAATCTTTCCAGTGCTAAAGTTGCTCAGGTTCCAGAGAACATGTATATAAGTTCATCTCAGTGATGAGTGATTTGTGTGGTTTTAAATCCAGCTGTTATTTTTATTTAGATTCTTATTCTGCACAATTTATTTGATATTAATGCTGTATTACGGTTGAAAGTATTACAATTAACTTCTGTAGTTTCCATGAATGAATGAATCAGTAATTGACATCATTGCACTCAGGACATTCCCACATGTGCCCTGTCCCCATTCTTCAGTAACCAATAAAGAGTTGACATGCTAATTGTACCAGCTGAAACCTGGTTAAGGTCCGCATCTGTTTTTCCAGAACCTCTACTCCCCTCTCACCCCCCATTGAATTAGTCTTTCAGTTTCTGATTTCCTATCTGTTCTTTTGCACGGTCCATTTTATCCCATATAGTTTTCACCACATCCACTTTATCAAATAGTAGCACACCGCCCAGAGGGGCGGTAGCAGTAAACTATCAGCCAGCTGGTTACCTCGCACAGCGATATACCCTGGACAGAAAATCCATGATGTGCTCTTGATCTAGGTCTTATCAAGTGATGCAAGTCTCTCTGTGAGCAGGACACCAGTTTGTTTTCTAAAGCATCCTCTGTGAGTTCTGTACGAGGAAAGCAACACAATTTTGATGTGAACACTTCACTGGAGTTGAAACCCTAAGAAAGGATAACGCTACACCAAAACATTCAGTTTTTTCAAGCAGTCACCAATGGTACCTCTATCAATAAATTTAAGGAATATTGCAATTGGCGGATTGCAGACAGGAGAAAGTCAAAGTCAGGTTGCCAGGTATCTAAACGTGCATCAGAGTACCGTCACTTGACTTTGGCACCGGTTCCAAGCCACAGGTTCAGCTGAAGACTGACATCTCATTGGATGACCCAGAGTGACAACAGCAGCGAAGAGTTAGCTTTATTTCGCTTGGTCACCTCAGAGACAGGATTACAACAGCTTTCTCAACTGTGCAGGAATTGCTTCCAGAACATCATGTGTCTGAGCAAGCTGTTCGGATCAGACTGCATGATGTTGGACTTTGGGCATGACGACCACACCGAGGACCTGTCGCTATGCATCGGTACCACTAAAATCGACTTCTTTGGGCCAACCAACATTGTTCCTGGGCAGGTGACAGTCAGTGGAGACGTGGCTGGTTCAGTGATGAATCTTTTTTTTTTTTTTTTTTAAGCATTATGATAGACGGCGTAGGGTCTGCCCTAGACGAAATGAAGGTTTAGCCCAAAATTGTGTTGCTGAAGCTTTGCTGCACAGTGGTGAAGGTGTAGTGGTGTGGGGAATGATCAGTTACAACAGAAGGAGTCAGTTGGTGCACATTGAAGGAAGCGTAAATGTGCAACGATACGTCCATGAAATTCTTTGACCTTCTTTTTCTTCTTCTTCCGTTCGCTTTGAAATAAATTATCTATATCTGCAATGTTACTGTAGTATCTTCACTGTCTTTTGTAATTCACTCAGCGAGCTGTAAAGTTTGACTTGCACCGATGTTTCTCTTGACCAAAAGTTTTGCCTGATATGTTGTATTTGGGACAGTCTTGGAGGACATGATATGTTGTCTCACGTGCCAATCCACATGTGCATGTGGCTGCGAAGTCAACTGTGTCCTGTTCTAAGGCATTGAATAATGACTTGCTCTGGTCTTTCCATAAAATGGTAATCACCTTGTGCCGGTGGTGGTGGCTTTCTGATTGATTTGATTATTCTCTTCTTTTGCTGATAAGAGACTTGTACTTTAGGTTGTTCTTCATTTGCACCTTCCTTAGCTAGTTTATCAGTATTCTTCGACCATATGTCCTTCCATTTTGGGATGCCAGCAGATATCATTTTGAACAGAACAATGTCAGACCCCATTCTGCACTGCTGACTATGCTGTTCCTGGCTGCCAATAACATTCAAACCCTTCCCTGGCCATCTGTATCTGCAGACATGAGTCCAATTGAGCGCCGCCTGTGGAATGAACTGCAAAGACGTGTTTGTCTCTGGGACATTGCTCCAGCCAATGGCCGTGATCTGTTCCTGGCACTCCAGGAAGAGTGGTCAGCTATCCCACAGGCCCACATCAGACATCTGATCATTTCCATGCCCAGGAGATGCCTGTCACTGATCCATGCAAGAGGAGGCCACACACCAAACTAACGGGAAAGGCCTGCGTCTAAAAATGATTGTGACCCAGACGCATAAAAAAAAAAATGGTTTCAATTGATTGGTGGAGCCCTAAGGTATTCTTGTGTGAAATTTGAGTAATTTCACTTACTGCATTACAAAGAAGCAGAATGTCAAAATTTCTTTCAGTAACTGTCAAGGCCTTTTGGGAGCTACTGAATAATGCAGGGACATGAATTGATCATTATGGTCTGGAGAGAATGGTAGAGTAGGACGGACCAGGGGATCTGGCTAAAACTCTACACTCAGAGGAAAGGCAAGATGGACATACAATCAAACTGCTTCTGGCACCATCAGAGTGTAAACTTTTTGCTGGCTGCTGAAGATGAGGATAGAGTGCGAAAAGGAATGTCCAAAGTATGACGATATCAGTTCTTAGCTCAACACTCAACAACACAGTACTGGAGTAAACCCCCGCCCCACCCACCCCTTCCTTCCCCTACACGAGGCTTCTAACATTTGTTGTTTTACTAAATTAAATGTTTGTAATATATTGTAAAAATGTTCGCACATGGTTCCTCGTTTTTTGATATTTTTCAATATGGTGATAATATTTTGTATTAATAGACAATTTCAGTTAAATTAAATATTTGTTTACCAGCTGTACATGTTTTACAGAATCTACTCATTGCACATGACGCAGTATCCCAGCAGGCACTGCAACCTGTAGAAGACATTGAGGGCCAGGGAGAGCCAATTGATTACCCACTTCTACAGTATGGGGAGGATACTGTTAAGATCATTCACCTTGAGAAGACAGGAGAACACTTGGTGAGAAATGATTTTCTTCTTATGTGTTCGCCCTTAGAAAATGGTTGACACGTGTTGAGGTTTATAGTTGCAATATCTGTGCCCTTTGGCCCAGCACATCCAGTTACAACAGACCCGTCATCTGCCACCTTTTACAGCCTGCTTGTCACTGGGCAGTTGTTCCCTTCTCCCCTAATATGGGACACTTGAAACCCACACAGGCAGAAATAACCTATGATTAATTGTGGTCTCATTTTTGAATTGTTTTGATTCTGATTGCTGTATTAAAGTGAAACTTTCTACTTGGCATTAGAACAAATTTTGGATATAGTTTTTGGGCCATAAATTTTAGTGACTGAAAACCATGTGAGGGTTTCTACTTTTTATTTGTATTTCCCATTTGAAATGTGCTCTCAATCCTCTCACATCAAGTGCTTCTGTCATTTGCTGTCCCATGTGCACCATTCATGTCTGTCCCATTTTATTTATCTCATTTAATCTCATTTTCCTTTTCTTGTGTATTTCTGTCTCCACATTTCTTCTCTTACAATGGATTTCAAAGACAGGAATAATAAGCACATTTTCCTCACTTCTTGATTGACTTGACATTGTTTAGTTCTCTCTCTGAGCTTCATATTGGGGAATTCTATCATACATTTTATTAATCGTTCTTTTCTGCTAAGGCCACAGTTAATAAATTTTGGTCTTTCAAAAGAAATTGCTGTTTACAGTTCTCATTGTTTTTGATTGATGTAACATTACTGAGTTGATGATATTAGGGCAAAGTATTGAAAGTGTAAGGCTCGGCACAAGTTATAATGGCTGCATTTACTTCCTTATAGCAGTTTTTTATGCACACTTCATGAGACTGGTTTGAAACAACTGGTTGAGAACAAATCTGTGCCTGGACACTCAGAGTGTATCACTGTTCTGGTAGCTACTGCCAACACCCTTGCATATAGAAGACAGTAAAAGCATGAGGTCTAGATTAGCCTTGTTTTGTCACACCACAAGAGAATGGCCATTAGTTGATCATACTTTATACTAGTGAAAAATATATAACTGCACTACTGGCTCTTTTACATTAGAAATGTATTAGTGCGTTTCTAAAAATTAACAGATATTGATGCCTTATCTGTGAGCTGTCCACATTAGAGATGTTCACCTACAAAATATTAGCAATTGACGTCTGGTGAAACCATCCATTGGGAGATGATTGGTTGGAGGTTGTTCCACTTTCCAGTGCATGAAAAGTTGTAGTTTTTGTGTGGTCTTTTGAACACTTCAGGCATAGTTTTTTAATGTTTCATGACATTGGGAAGGTTGTTTTCCACAGCACACTATCTAAATGATCAGCTTTCATAAATTTGGTCAGTTTATTTCAGAATAGAACTCTAGTTTAGGGTTCTCCTGGATGTTTTGTAGCATCCTGATTGTATTGATTAAAACAGTTTTGCAGCAGACACTGCAATTTCTTTTAAACATTCAAAAGCCTAGCAAAATATAAGAAAGAAAGAAATGGAGATATTAAGAGAAATCTGTTGTTCTGTAATTCATAAACTTTCTTTTTTTAATTTTATTAAAGGAATCTGTTGTTCTGTAATTCATAAACTTTCTTTTTTTAATTTTATTAAAGGGAGCCACTGTAAAGAATGAAGGAGAATCTGTAATAATTGGTCGAATTGTGAAAGGTGGTGTTGCAGAAAAGAGTGGTAAGTGAACAAGTGCCCTGCCTCTTTCGCTTTATCTGATTGTCAGTCTCTCTCTCTCTCTCTTTGTATCCATTCTTGTCTCTATCCATCCATCCGTCTCGTCTTGTCTGTCTGTTTTTTTAATTAATTTTGAACTAAGTCTTATATTTTTTTATTTATCAGTAAGGTTGGTTATATTTCTTTGAAGTGAAGACTATAATTTAGATTTGAAACTGCTCATAAATATTTATTTTCAAAGAAAAATGTATTTGTATACGCCTATTAGATGTTTAATGCACATGCATTCTTTGGTTTGAAGGACTCCTACATGAGGGAGATGAAGTTCTGGAGGTGAATGGTATTGACATGAGAGGCAGGAACATCAACGATGTGTCAGAGATGCTGGTAAGAGGACATTGTGCTGCTTAGAATTATCTGATGCTGTTATTTCACTTTGTTGTTCAAAAAGACAGAAAGTTGCATTGCATTGAACTGATGCAGATTGAGCGCTATGGTTTGATACTGAAGTGACACAGTGGGTGGTCTAACTGCCTTCACAACGCATTACCCAGGGTATCATCATCATCATCATGAAGCAGGTTCTTTGCAGAACGTCGCTCTCATCTCAGTCTGCCTGAAAGAAGCTCGGTCTCTCGCCAGTTCTCCTGCCTCATGTACTTTCATACTCAAGGAGTTACTTTTACCTAGGGTATATCCTGCTTTAATAGTGAATTTTAGGTGTTGCCCCATTCTCATCAATATTGGTAGTAGCAGAGATATATTAAGGTTTTTGCAAGAGTGACTGCATTGAGTAAGTCTGTATCACTATATGTTTATTGTAAACAACCACATTTAATAACTATTTATAGAACTCATTCGAGCATGTCGAGTCACTGAGGAATATAGTTGATATGTCTTGGCACAGACTTGAAACCCTAATATGAATGTTGATAAGAGAAACCAAAGGTACCAGACTAGATGTATAGAAACACAGAATTCACAGAATTGTACAGGATAAGATGGAATGTAGGAATATGACTATGAACTCTTTGAGACTTTTGACACAAAACGTAATAAATAAATGAATGAAAAAAAAAATTTACATAGCGTCTTTTATTTAAAAGCTTTTAGATAAACTTATAAATGGTGAGCTGTGAAATAATCTTGAAGATCATCAGAATATAACTCGTTGGGCGTTCAGTGGAGTTTGTTGACAGTGAAGTATATAAAGCGGGTGGAGGAAACATTTTATATATATATAGATGCACTCAAGTACATGCATACACATTTGCATATATGGCTTAATCATTTAATTTAGGAGACTCCTGGTATACCTTTCTGCAGATGTGAAGCTCTAGTATTGATCTTGCAAATGCCATTGGTATCTGAGCTTGGAGAGTGGAAAGAGAGCTCTACAACACAGTTCCCATGGACATGATACTTTGGTACCTGGTTGAGTGAAGTCTCAGTGAGAACATTCTTGACACCAGTTTCATTCATTCCTTTTTAGAGCTAATATTAATCCACTGGGCTTCAGAGTTAAAACTATATTTACCAGAACTTTCACAAACAGCAACATTTAAATTACATAATTTAAATCCATCACTGAATTTCAGTAAACTTGTTTATGCACCTGATACCTGCTATCTATTTAACAGGCAAACATGACTGGAACAATCACATTCATGATCATACCTGGCCACAGCCCTTCACCAAATAACCGGCAGAAATCAAACAAAGTGGTAAGCAGAAACACAGTAGTCTTACAGTTTGCAGGTCATTTGTTTTAGCAATGTGCAGTATTTTCTTGCTTTTATACATACTTAATGATTAACCCTCTGGAGACTGAGCCTTTTTGGAGTTTCAGTGTCAAAAAGATGAAACCATCAGGAGGAGATTCTCACAGTTTATACAGTAACAATTATAAATAATAAAGAATACAATTATAATATAGAAAACTATAAAGATTCATGTGGGAAATGGAATGAGCTAATAGAATATTTATGAATCAAACTGAAATCTGAACATTTATTCAATGAACTATTCTGATTTACATAATTTATGCAAGAATTTTTTTCGTAATTTGGGAACAAACATGACTGACCTTAAAATTTGGGTACATTTTTTTTGGATGAAGCTTGAATAAGTCCTAAAACCTATGTTTTAGGAAGTATGGCCCTTCAGACACTTTTGGCACATGGTTTTAATAATTGTCCTGCCTCCAAGCTATGTTTTGGTTACTATGACGCAACACTGTCCTTTTTGCAATTGTTGGGCACAGGTAACCCCAGAAAAAATGTGATGTAAAATTACTGAACACATCAAACTTTCTTGAAAGCCGTCAGTAAACAGCCCACATGTCCAAGAAATGCAGGAAGCAATCTCATTGGCTAGTAAAAAAACCTGCCAGCCAATCTCAAGGTTTGTATTACATAGGGCCGTCTGATTGACCCAGTCGTTCTTTTGGCTACTTTGTGTCAGGCCGATATTTCGGCCGCGTCGTCTCCAGAGGGTTAAGAGGATGTGATGATGTATGTGTGGCTGAGTAGGTAAGTCATTTTACGACACAGTGAACATGCTCTGTGATTCATTCTTTTCCTAACAGGTTAAGTCAATCTTCTTCTTCTTTTCTCTACTCCTGGAATGCCTCGCGGCGTCAGGGAAGGAAGAGATCTCTAGAACGGGCCCTTCTGTTTGCTTCGAATATAGTACTTTTCAGTGTCTCTGAAATTTCTGCAGTCCATATTCTGCGTGGTTGACCTCTGTGTCTGTTATCGCTGTATCTGTATAACATTGCTCTCTGTGGTGCCCTGTCTGCTGCCAATCTTGTTACATGGCCAAACCATTTGATTTGTTGTCTACCTCTAAAGTTCAATGTTGGTTCTGTGCTGATTCTCCTCCTGATATCATCATTCCTAATACGATCTTTCCTCTTTACATCTAGCATAGTGCGTAAACATTTAATTTATGTCGTGGCTATTTTCCTTCTGTCTTCTAAAGATGGTTTAACATTAATAGCAGAGCTTTTGGGAAGAATATTGTATTCAACAGAGTTCTTTTAGTGTTCATATTTACAGGCTTGCATTTCAAAATTGGTACCATTTGGCCTAAAACTCAAATGTCTATTGCATTTTTGTTGGATTTCCTAATTCATTCTTCCGTCTTCAGAAAAAAATGCTTTCCAGATATGTAAAATTGTTTGCCTGCTTTAATTGATGTTCATCAATATTGATATTGGTGAATCTTCCTTTTCTTTAGAATGTCATCACTTCTGTTTTGTCTACGTTGATCTTCATATCGTAGTTGTCACATTCTGAGTGGAGTCTTTTAATATGTTCTTCTAGCTGTACTGCTGTTGGTGCTATGATTGCCTGGTCATCAGTGAAAAACAATTTATTTAGTAATTCTCTGATGCTGCCCCTCCTTCATGGTACCATGCTTTCTGCTATACAATCTGTCGTGACTCTTTATATGACCAAAATATTTCAGCTTCTGAGACATAATGCTGTTTATTAGCCAGTCTTCCTCAATGTTCAGATCTTTCAAGATGTCAGTATTTCTCCTTTTTTCGTCCAAGTCTGAGAATCTTTCTATAACAACCTTGTATTTACAAGATGAAGATTGAATTACTATTTGTGTTTCCTCAGTCTTTAATGTGCATATCCATACAAGGTCCAACAATTAAGTAATGAAACTAATTCCATAAAAACTAAAATAATCAACAGCTGAAGATATAGCCTGTATTTTATTCAAAGTAAGCCCCTTGTGCATTGATACAGTGAGTAGCACGATCTAACAAACACTGAAACGACCTCTGTAGTTCTTCTGTTGCTATGGCCCTTAAAGTCGATGTTACGACCCTTTAGATGTCATCAATATCTTTAAAGAAGCATCTGTTCAATGGAATAGAAAATAATCACTTGGAGACAAACCTGGGCAATAGAGTGGATGGTTAAGAACACACACCTGTTTTGGGGCCAAAAATTCCTTTTTTGATATCTTTTGGGGACTCAACCCGCTTATGTTTTTGGTCATCAGAAAATGAATGCGGTAAAAACCTGCAAGCAACTTTTTTGGGGAGCCAAAATCTTGTACTAAAATTTTAGGAAGGTCTCTCTGTTAACACCAGTTTCATCTGACATCATCCTGGCAGTAAAACAACGATCTTTTTGTATCCGTTTTGTGACTTTTGCAATGAGTTCATCAATACAGACAGAAATTGGGTGTCCAGGTTTAGTTGCACTAGTGATCATTTCCACACCACTTTAAATCGTGAATACCCCCTGAAAATCTGTGCACGAGATAAACAGTTATCCCCATAAACTTGTTGCGTCAATTCTACTGTCTCAGTGTTGCTTTTTAGAATTTAATGTTAGCTTTTTGCTCCATGCTGATTTCATAACAATGCTCATCTAACTAGGTCAATAAAATGGCAGCTTGTTTGTCGTTTGCTTATCAGGCGGCAATGCAAAGTTGTCAGATCATAAATGAAGGTTGCGTCTTTGGATTCTATGCTCTGCTTCATAGATGGCCCTTTTGTCTTGGCCGTAATGAAATCAGTCTCAATACTGAGTTGTGGGACCTTGTACATCTGTTGTCTTGGTGTCATAGAAGTTACTGTAAGCTGTTCCTCACACATTTCATTATTCACTGAAAGGGGACATTTTAATTTTTGTTGCACATTTTCTTCTTGTGGGTGTTTCTATTATTCTCTATGTTCTCCTATGCTTTTATTATAGATCTTTATGAATAATTATTGGTGATTATTTTTAAACATAATATGAAGAATGCTAATTAAGCAAATATAAGAGAAATTTTTCTTCCTAGAAGCTCACATTCAGACATACTTACTGATAAACATACAGACAGACCATATATTTTAGAATGGGGTTCATAGGTACAGAAAGGAACAGTAACGTAATTTACCATGCGTGTCATAAGAAATGAGGAGGAAAAAGGGGGGGGGGGGGGGGGTAGAGGCTTCCTCATCCTCTAGAAAACTAACTGCAACATCCAGCCCATTATACATTAATTAATAAAGAAAAACACAAATCTCAGCCAAAATATCAGAAAGCTTCCCTCCTAAAAGAAGTATGTGAACTAAGCTGCAAGAAGTTTGCCTTCCTTCACTTGGAATGTTTACTTTTTTGTTCCAGTAAACTTGAAAAAAGCAAAGCTAAGCTCTGGGGCTTTCCATTTTGAAGATATTCCCACGGAAAAATGCCATTAAAGAAGCAACCATTTTGCATATGTGACCTCCAGATTCTATTTTTAGTAAATTTGTCGTTTGTGTCACACTGAACGTTTGCGTAGAAATAGTTGTGATAAATTCTGTTAGCTAGATGTCTCATAAACACATCTCTGTAGTAAACCAAGTAAAGCAAGCAGCTTTTGCAGAGAAATGGTCCCAACCAGAAGTGTCAGTTTTGTGGCTTCTCCTGGCCAAAGGGTTAACAGTTGGGGGAAATCCAGTGCCTGTAATAAAGGAAATAAAAAATTTAAAATTAACAGTTTTTAATTTTGCTAAAGTAAGAAAAATGCTGTCTGCCCTTTTGTAAGACCTTGCTAACAGATAAATAGCATCTACACTGCATGTGAATTTGTCTTAAGATGTACAGATGTTCATCTCTTGCATGATCTTTCCATAATTATATGCAAAATGGCTTTGAGATCAGTGAGCGTTTGTGGAACGTACAGAGGTTCCAAAGGTACTTTGTAACCCGTACTTACTTATTGTATAATTTTATTTGTAACCCGTACTTTTTAATTGTATAATTATATTGTCATTTCAGATGCATTTACGAGCACTTTTCTCATATGAACCCGAAGACGATCCCTATATCCCCTGCCGAGAACTAGGCATCAGTTTTTTAAAAGGGGATATCTTGCATGCTATTGCCCTTGATGATCCCAACTGGTGGCAGGCCTTTAGAGAAGAGGAGGAGGAGGAGCATTCCTTGGCTGGCCTGATACCTAGCAAGTCATTTGCTGAACAGTATGTGCTTCTTCTTCATGTACTCTTGTTAACATGAAACTTACAAATATGTTATCTTTGTAATCTGTCTTAAACCAGTCTGTATATGTGTAAAACTGTCCTGTATTCTTTATCCGACCATGTTTTAATTGCTAGATGTATAGGAAAGCAAGTGTTTCTTCTTCATGTACTCTTGTTAACATGAAACTTACAAATATGCTATCTTTGTAATCTGTCTTAAACCAGTCTGTATATGTGTAAAACTGTCCTGTATTCTTTATCCGACCATGTTTTAATTGCTAGATGTATAGGAAAGCAAGTGTTTCTTCTTCTTGTACTCTTGTTAACATGAGACTTACAAATATGTTATCTTTGTAATCTTTCTTAAACCAGTCTGTATATGTGTAAAACTGTCCTGTTCTTTATCCGACCATGTTTTAATTGCTAGATGTATAGGAAAGCAAGTGCTTCTTCTTCATGTACTCTTGTTAACATGAGACTTACAAATATGTTATCTTTGTAATCTTTCTTAAACCAGTCTGTATATGTGTAAAACTGTCCTGTATTCTTTATCCGACCATGTTTTAATTGCTAGATGTATAGGAAAGCAAGTGTTTCTTCCTCATGTACTCTTGTTAACATGAAACTTACAAATATGCTATCTTTGTAATCTGTCTTAAACCAGTCTGTATATGTGTAAAACTGTCCTGTATTCTTTATCCGACCATGTTTTAATTGCTAGATGTATAGGAAAGCAAGTGTTTCTTCTTCTTGTACTCTTGTTAACATGAGACTTACAAATATGTTATCTTTGTAATCTGTCTTAAACCAGTCTGTATATGTGTAAAACTGTCCTGTATTCTTTATCCGACCATGTTTTAATTGCTAGATGTATAGGAAAGCAAGTGTTTCTTCTTCATGTACTCTTGTTAACATGAAACTTACAAATATGTTATCTTTGTAATCTGTCTTAAACCAGTCTGTATATGTGTAAAACTGTCCTGTATTCTTTATCCGACCATGTTTTAATTGCTAGATGTATAGGAAAGCAAGTGTTTCTTCTTCATGTACTCTTGTTAACATGAAACTTACAAATATGTTATCTTTGTAATCTGTCTTAAACCAGTCTGTATATGTGTAAAACTGTCCTGTATTCTTTATCCGACCATGTTTTAATTGCTAGATGTATAGGAAAGCAAGTGCTTCTTCTTCATGTACTCTTGTTAACATGAGACTTACAAATATGTTATCTTTGTAATCTTTCTTAAACCAGTCTGTATATGTGTAAAACTGTCCCGTATTCTTTATCCGACCATGTTTTAATTGCTAGATGTATAGGAAAGCAAGTGCTTCTTCTTCATGTACTCTTGTTAACATGAGACTTACAAATATGTTATCTTTGTAATCTTTCTTAAACCAGTCTGTATATGTGTAAAACTGTCCCGTATTCTTTATCCGACCATGTTTTAATTGCTAGATGTATAGGAAAGCAAGTGTTTCTTCTTCTTTCCTTAGCATTCACCAGCTGTAAACTTCCTGGAAAGTTCTGATTGTATGTTCACTCCAGGTTTTCATCTTGGTCCAGAACTTGAGTTTTTGCATTCACTTACGTTTTGCAATTTTTGGCCTGTTTGTGTGCAGACTGTTGTTTTCTTACCTCAGGCAGAAACAGACTTTGAAGGATGCACCCCTAATTAGTTGCCTCCTATGACATGCTTGTTAGGGGGCAACAGTGGCTCCATTTTCTCTAAAATGGAGCCCCAGAATCCACACAGGGAAAGCTCATTTTTTAAAAAGCCTATAGAAAAATGACTCTGATGTGTAAGAAACAAAATGAAAATGTTATTGAGTGTATCTAGAGCAGAGACAAGTAGAGGCTGATGGCTGTGGGTTAGTATCTGAGACATTCATATCCTGGAAATAGATTACCATAGGATCATTTAGAAATATCAGTTATGATAAAATCAGAACTGAAAATAGGCCATTGATGAAAGACAACCAAGCTGTTATTGCCATTTAATTTACCACAACTAGCCCTAAAACATGAATTATTGTACAGAAATATATTTCTGTCAGGTAATTTATTTAGTCTTAGATATAGAAATGAAATGTCTAAAGAAACAAGAACATGTGCTTAATAGGGAATATTACATTTTAAAATGTATATTTTTGTAAACAGAACTTTTAAAAATTACATGTTTTGTAACTTGAGTCAGGTTGAATATGAAGAGTTTAAAATAAGCTATGTTTTGTGATAATCTATTGTATTGCCATAAAACTCTTTCTCTTAGAATATTTATATTGCAGCATTGTAGTTCAAGAATGGAGCTATTTTGTTTTTGCACCTCATTAGTTTTTCTGCATTGTTCTCGTCCAACAGACGTGAGGCTCTGAAAATATCTTTAGAAAATAAAGAAAACAAGAGGAAACACAGAGTTTGTGCATGCGGAAGAAAAGATCACAAGAATAAGAAAAAGAAGAAATATGTAAATGGTGGCACTTCTGAAGGTTAGTGTCTATGTGTAAACAAAAATGTATAGTCAGTTTTTAAAAGGTTACGATTAGACTTTATTCATCAGCAGGGAGCTGTAAACATAGGCTGTCGTGATTCATATTAGAGAACTGCTGTAATAAGTTTAGGGCGTTTATAGGACTCAGTAAGGACTGTTTTGTTTGCTTTCTTTCCTTATAGGAGACAAGGCAATGCCCTCAAAGCCACGCGCACGCATGAGAGACAGGTACTAAAAAAAAACTACACAGGACAAAATATTTATAGTCAAAGAAAACAAACAATTATTTCTAGATTTGCTATATCCATAAATGATTGATTCTAAATTATTGTAGTTCACCGTCTGGTGCCCGGTGTCATAAAGAATATGACCACAGCATGTCTTAAGAGGTGATTAAGAAGGGTTGGACGTGAGGCCAGCAGCACCACACTGAAAAAACAAAAAAAAACGATACAGAAACAGAGACAAACATAAATAAAAATAATACTCATGGAGATCAGGATGTCATAGATGTAGGTGACAGGATAACTGTCAGTGATGAAGGACTGAGGGGGGGGGGGGGGATTCCAGTCCTGATGTCCTGCCTCTTGGCTGCCAGCAATAAGATTCAGCATGCCAGCTGGATGTCAAAATGATGTATGAAGCAGGCAGTTCGCAGAAATTGCCAAGGAAATGGCAAACAAAAGGATAGACATTATGGGAATAAGTGAAAGCAGATAGCCTGGTCAAGGAAGATTGACACATAATAGTGGGAAGAAACCCTGCTCTGTTTGGGAAGAAATGATGGTGAACATACACATGGAGTAGCACTAATGCTAGCTAAAGTAATCAGATCTCTAATTGATTGAGGGTTATAATTAAAGGCTAATAACTGCATGCTTTGAGTCCAGATTCATGAAACTTATAGTCATACAATGCAATGCACCAACAAATGATGGAAGGATGAGAAGAAAGATGAACTGATAAAGGAAGTCGCCAAACATGACCTACTTAAAGTTATGAGGGACTTGAACATGAAAGTGGGAAGGGATAACCCAAGGCTTCAATTCCTCTTGGGGAAACAGGCTGGGAGAGAGGAACTGACCGACTTCTGTCTCCACCACAATCTAGTTATTGGTGGAACAATCTTCATACATAAAGATATCCACAAGTATACATGGACGACATCTAATGGCAGCACGAGAAACCAAATTGACCACGTACAGTATAATAAGAAGTATAGTACCTCGATAAAAGATGAGTTTGCTAGAAGGAAACCTGACGTCGGGAGTGACCACAACATAGTGATTTGTAGATTGAAGCTTAAATTAAAAAGAAGCAAGAAAAAGAATGTCAACCCATTATTTGATACAGCCCAGCTCAGGAAATTAAAAGTCAGAGAAGATTTTTGCGTCGAACTAAGAAACCAGTTTGAGGTGTTTTACCAGAGACAGCAACTATTGAAGAAGAATGGGCAGAGTCTCAAGATGAGTATTGAAATGCAGCTCAGAAAATACTTGGTATGAAGAAACATGTGAGAGAGGAATGGATATCTAAAAAATCTTGGTCAAAGAAGAAAAATAATGCAAAAAGAGTAAATAAACCCTGCAAAGAGCACTTTGCAAAGACGGCCACACAGAAAGCATATAACACCATACATAAAGAAGTACAGAAAAGCTTAAAAAAAAGACAAAAAAGGATACATGGAACTCAAAGAGGATGAAGCGGCAATGACAGATGATGTTAGAACATTTTATAAAATAACGGATCTTAGTCATAAACATTTTAGCTTTAATGAAGGAAACCTGAGAGACAAAATAGGAGAAATAACCACAACGGAAAATAAGAAAGGTTGACAGACGGCAAGAATATTTTACAGAGTTGCTAAATTGGCCAGCATCAGATATCCCAGAGGAAACAGTAGAAAACTGGCCAACTCCTAGAAATGAAAATTGGGCCAATCAGCATTAAAGAAATGGAAACGGCAGTAAACAGTATGAAGAATGGGAAGACACCAGGTGAAGACTGAATTAGTGTTGACATGTTGAAGGCAGACCCAAAATTTACAGAAAAAGCATTACATGCAATATTTAACAAAATATGGATTAATGAAGTGTTCCCAACAAACCAGAAAAATGGTGTAATCATTCCACTACCGAAGAATGGTGATCTCTGTGACTGTAACAACTGGAGAGGCATAACATTATTGTCTGTACCCGGAAAGGCACTCTGTAGAATGAAGACATCAACAGACAACAGTTTTGTCGGAGATCAGGCAGAATTCAGAAAAGGAAGAAACTGCTGTGATCACATTTTCACTCTCAGAAATATTGTGCAACAAGCTTTAGAAAGGAATGCCACATTATATATAAACTTTATAATCTGTGTCATCAGCAAAAGTAAAAAACATCTGCAGCAAAAGTCAGATAAGATCACAGAAATAGCAAAAAGACTGGGTTAAGAATCAATGTCAGTAAAACAAAACTGCTGGAGATAAACCACACAAGTGAAAGACTGATAATGTAGGTTTGGAAACAGTAACTGACTTCACTAACCTGAGAAGCAATATCTCCTTGGATGGAAATGTGGTTGAAATCAAGCAGAGAATTGCAAAGGCAAAGGCTGCTTACAACAGACTTCAGAGTGTCTGGAGATCAAACATCTACAGCACTAAAACTAAACTCAGGATGTACAGACATGTGTTAGGACAGTTCTCCTCTATGGATCAGAAACTTGGAAAACACAGAAATATAGAGAGCATGCTCAGAGGTTTTGAGGGAAGACTTCTCAAAATATTGTTGGGGTTCACATGGGAAGGTAAAATCAGCAATTCTATATTACAACAAATAACAGTTCTAGAAACATAAAAGACAATTAGTAACTATGGAAATGAGGTGTCTAAAAAAGACTGTAGGAGTGACCAGAAGAGATAAAATCAGGAATGAGGTCATACGAAATAAAAGTCGGCACAGAACCAATTCAAATTTACATACAAAAACAGCAAATCAAATGGTTTGCCCACTTTGAGAGAATGCCTCCTGATGCTATACCATACAAGGCATAAACCAAAAGAGGAGAGTGATGTAGAGAAAGAGGGAGATCAAGAACAAGATGGGAAGATAGCATCAGAGGAACTCTACAGCACCATGATGTGTCTATGGTCGAAGCACCCATAAGAGCACGATAAAGGACCTTATATCTCCCTGGACACCTGAAGTGGTAAAAGAGGACATAAAGAATAAGGACAGACTTAGAAGATGTAAATTAAGACTTCAAAAAATGAAAATGTAGGTGGATTGGACATGTCCTCAGAATGAAGAACGAGAGATGGCTGCGATGAGCAATGCAATGGACACCACAAGGACAGCAAGGAAGAGGCAGGCCCAATGGCACTTGGAGGTGGTGTTTCTGCTGGAAGGGACAGAGGACCAAACAACGCTTGAACAAAGCTAGAGCTGCTTTAAAGATGAGGCAAAGCTGAAAATCCCACAGTTATTTCAGAGGAATGAAACTCCGACTCTACAAGAGCATCATTTTGCCAGTTCTTCTTTATGGAGCGGAATGCTGGAGAATGACAAAAAGGAATACACACAAACTATCCACCTTCCACCACACATATCTACATAGAATTATAAATATTTTCTGGCCAGGTGCAATTTCAAACACTAAACCACTTCAAGTCACAAACCAAGAAACTCTACACAGTATAACCAAGAAAAGATGGAAATGGCTTGGCCGCGTTGTGGGAATGAATTCTGATATGCCTGCCAAAACAGCTCTCTCATGGATACCAGAGGGAAAATGAAAACAGGGGCGCCCAAAAGCAACATGGAGATGAACTATAGAGAGTGACCTGAATGCGGTATCTCTGATATGGAAAACTGCACTGAAGATAGCACAGGACAGGAGAGCATGGACAGTCCTCTCTGAAGCCTCATGTGCCACTAGGCATAAAGAGAATTGATGATTCAATGTATAATATACCAGTAACTGTAAGATTTACTCTAATGGTAATGGATCTTTCATTCTCCATTTATTTCTTCTGGGAAAATTTGGTATACATCCACATAGTGGGTAGACATGGTGGGCATCAGTATATTTGACCAAACATTTTTTTTAGATATTGTTTTGGGTGGGGGGAAAAAAGATTTTAAAAAAATAGTGGATTCACAATGATGTCATATAATTTCATAATTTTGTCACATTGCTGTCTGTGGACCAGTGACCAAAACTACTTTTGATATGGTCAAAGGGAAGAAAATCAGTTTAATTCTTTGTTCCCTTTGAAATGTGTGATTACTTCCTTTCATGTAGAAATAAACCTTTCCCCATATGAACATTTAATGAATGGAATTTGTTGATGTTCTGTCATCAGAGAAGAAGAGGACCACATCTGCCTGTCTTCTCAGGAGTCTAGAGATTCCAGGCTATAGATATTGTTACAAACTTACCAAGACTCATAATTTCTTCTGCATTTATCTTCTTTTCTTCTAGTTTCTTAGAGTAGTTTCATGGAGTTACAAGCATGTGTTTTTTTTAAAAACAAAATTTGAAGTGTGTAAAGATCATTTTTTCAAGTTTCTTGCAGGGCGAAAGAGTTAAGAAAAGAACAGAGTGTAATCACTGTTGAATACAGGCAAGTCCACAGTCAGCTGGTAAAGATAGATAAACAGTAAAGTACAAAATCTTATTGCATATTTAGAAGGATAAGTCTTTTACAGATATGATTCATCGTTTCAGATTATGATGAGATCCTTTCTTATGAGGAAATAGTCAGGTACTATCCTCAGCCTAACAGAAAGCGACCTATTGTTCTAATTGGACCATCCAATGTTGGCCGTAATGAGCTTCAGCAGAGACTTCTGGACTCAGATGCGGACAGATTTGGTGCTCCTGTGCCTCGTAAGTCAGCTACATTTAGTTGATCTAGTGTTAAATTTGTGTGTTCATATTCTGCATGTATAGCCCTTTTGTATTAAATGCTAGAAAAATGTGATCTTATGGCATCCTCAAATAGCTTAACTCAGATACATCTTGTGTACCCATGGGGATAAATTAGTTGTCATTTTCCTACACAGTTAAGCTGTAAACTTTGGCTCTGTATCCTAGATCATTTACTGATCTAAAGTATGTATGTATCACTGCATGGTGATGTTGTAAACAAAAGTTGAACTACCAAATGTATGAGAGAAATAAGACACATATATTTCTGAGTAAATAGACCACACACACATAGAAAAAATAAACTGAGCAGAAAGCCCTCTCCTTAAAAGTTGTATGGTACAGTTTCAATCCAGCAAGATAATTCTAGTTCACAGCCTTGTGCTATAATTCTGACCATGAATTCAGTGCAGGCCAAAATGGTATCAACCACAGACAGATGATACACAGTGCCAGTCTGACATATTATTATATCATCAAATGTATCAAATAAAGCCCATCATCAATCATCCTCACATTAACCAAGAATACAAACAGTGTTCATAACTCTTCTATATGTAAAGTAAGTAAAACAACTAAGGGCCCTGTTGGCTTATGAAGGCAGACCCATCTATTTTTATAGACTGACTATACTCGATGAGGGATTGGTCAACATTATGCTAGCTCCCTTTACTTCCTGTGATATTTCTGAAATTAATCTGGATTTCAGCTGAGCTCAGTTACTCTGATCGGCAAGTTATGCAGATAGGTGCCTGAGTCGTCTTAGAGATGGAAAGAGTCACCAGAAAAGTAACTTGTCATCCCGGGGAATTTATTGTACCAGCTGTGTGTGGATCTTACAACTTTTACAACCATTATGTCAGCATCATTTTCCAGTTCCACACAGGGCATGCCAGTTAGTAGTCATTGAAGCTGATATTCCCAGCACAAGCTGCCTGTCAGATATTATTCTTTATCTGTTTTTAATTTCTCTTGAAATGTCTGTACATTCATAAGCCAATAAAAGCTCTGTCTCTAATAGTTAACTGATTTTCTGTCCAGTCCTTGGAACAGTACAGAACCAAGAACCAGTACCTTCATGAGAATGACATTGATCTGCAACAGATAAACAGCTAAGCATGGTTAGGATAAATTACCACCATCCACAATGCTATACTTACATTCACCACACATGTATATTTTTCAGATACCACATGTCCGCCGCGGAGCAATGAACTGCAAGATGGAACTTACAATCACATCTCTCGTGAAGAATTTAATATGATGATTCAGCAGAACCAGTTTGTGGAGTTTGGGTACCACCAGAAACACATGTATGGCACATCTTTTGATGCAGTCAGGGATGTTATAGCACAGGGCAAAGTTTGCTTGTTGAAAATGCAACCAGAGGTATGTAGAATATTGGACATATTTCACTGTTGCATGCTCAATTAAGTGGAGGAAGAATTAAACTCAACCCCATTTTTCAAATATGACATGAACATATGCACAGAGAATCAACACAAAATACAGCACATGTTCTAGGCAGTCTCTGGTTGAAATAAGTGAATACATTGTAATCATCAAGGGGTTAATATACGGATGTTTTTGCAATAGTTGATGTTTAAAATCAAGAATATAATTCACAAGGCATCTAAGTTGCAGAACACATGATTTCCTTCACCTAGTTACTGATCACTTGTAACTGTCAGTGAGCCACAGCCCACATACTGCAGCTCCATATGCTGCGGCTGCTGAAGAACAGGTGGCCCCACTACAGTCTGGTCAAGAGGGAAGTTAGCCAGCCACTTAATAAATAATGTGTTCAGTCTAATGTTTTGAGTAAAAGGCACAAATATCAAGGTCTTTGTAAGTAGGCACACTGATACCATATTTAAGAAATCAAATGTTTCAATAAACAACTTCTAGAATCAACTGTAGCACCAGTTCTTCTGATGCCTGTTGACACACAATACAATTTCACAAACTATGATATCTGCAGGACCTTTTCCTGCATTATCCTGTTAACCCTACCGGTATGGTCAGGTGAGGCCCTCAACCTAACTGTCTCCTATACCTGAGCTCCTGAGCATTAGAGATAAAAAACTAACATGATATAGAAAAATGTTAATTACATGCAAACAAGTGGTTAGAATTTGATGGAACTTGGAGACATTGTAGAAAATAGGTCTACCTTTCATCTAGCGCCAACATTCTACCTTTGTGGGCCAATCCGCATAGCAGGATATGCCTTGTTTCACACTGAGGTACTTCTTGCAAAGTGAGCACCAGATGTTGCTCTTCACCTTCTTGTCCAGAGTGCAGTGATGTTGGTTCTTAACTCACAACTCATAGAGTCAACTCAAATTTTGTTATCAGTTTCACAGGGAGACAAACTATTATTAAAGAGCAAATGATTAATGAGAGAACTGATCATGCTTTGACATGTCTTTAGCGGACTTGTGATCAGATGGGTTCCTTCTCATTGCATAATCCCAGGAAACTGTTCATTACTGTCTTTGTCCTGCTGCGTAGAATATCTGTGATGTTATTAATCCCTGAGTGTCTAAGTTTTCCTAATTGATATTTCTTGTGTAACTGTTAAGTATGTTGACATAAAGGAGTAACAAGTCTTTCATATTAATTCTGACTGCTTGTTCCCATCCGCAGACTTTGAAAGTGATCCATGCCTCTGATTTGATGCCATATGTAGTGTTTGTGCGCCCACCAAACTTAGAGAAATTGGGGCGGCTACAAGATCAGCTGAAAACACCAGTTGTAAGTTTTCTCCATTTTTGTAAAGCTTTTTTTCTTCTTCACACTCACCAGCTGTAAACTGTCAGCAAGTTCTGATTGTTCATCCACTTGTGGACTTTAGTTCCAGAACCAGAGTTTTGTGTGCACATCCATTTTACAGATTATGTATATGCAGACTGGTGGTTCCTCGCCTCTCTGGCAGATGCACTATAACTTTGAAGGAAAGATTCCTAATTAGTAAGCTCTTGTGACATGCTTGTTAGGGGGCAGTGACCCCTCCCCTTCCCCCTGCAATTTCCCCACAATGGGGCCATAAACTCACATAGGGATTATGGGCTTTTAAAGGATAGAAAGAAAAGGTATATGTGGGAAGCCTATACAGCTGAGAAATTAATACCATAAGCAACATTAGAAAATATGATAGGACACAGCAGGTTGAGAGTTATGATCAAGAAGAAGAATATAAGGTTGTTATGTTAACAGAAGGTTGAAGATGTTAAACCATCTGCCTTGCACTCTTAAAGGTCGTGGATGCAGTTTCAGAGACTGTCCTTTAGTTCCCAAGTGCAGATGTCAGATATTTCTGGGAGTTGTCACAGAAGTTTTAGTATTGTATGCTTTATGTGGCACTCTTGGTGGGTAAACAGATGCTTTGTGGAGAGCACTTCAGCCAAATGACATAACATCTACTGATGAGCATCATCACAGTTAGTGCTAGACATATTTTGCTGTATATTGCCAGATGCATTATTAATAATGTACATTGACATATAAAAAAAAGTTAGTTGCGTATCCTTTACAGGACTTTGCAGAACCAACCCTAACAGCCCCCGGCTGTTATGTGGTTTCTCTTGGCAAATTTTACGTCCGTAGTTTGCCATTGCTTTCTGGACGGTCGGCTTTCTTGATACCTCTGTCGAAACCAACGCAAGGCGCATTGCCCGCAACTGGGATCGAACCCGACATCCCGGCATTTCGAAGCGAAACGTTCGCATCGACTTAGCCACAGAGCATATAGTGAAGCATAAAAAAGAATCCTTTAAATTAGAATGCACAAAATGTATAGTCTATTATTATTGTCTACATCTTACTTCAGTTTTACAGGGAAATATACCAGGCAGTCATTTGTGCAGTATATTGTTTGTGCCCTCATTGTTCCAATTCACAAGAGCAAATTAAACATTGCTTTACATATATTTTCAGAGGTAGCATATTGACTGATTTATTCACTTCTGTTATAAGCATTCAGATTCAGATTTCTTTGTTAAATAGTATTCTTATAGTTGCCACATTCATTTATGACATTTTGCTTTTACTGTAACACTTTTATCACAGTTTGTTTACATTCATTCATGACCATAGCTGCCATATTTGAGAATCGGACACCCACGTGATCAGTTTCAGTCAGCGAGAATCGCCCGTAGAGACTGAGATTGTGTTTACACCCATATATGGAAGTTTCCTGGCATTTATATGGGTCAGTGAATTGACGGTGAAAGGAAAACATAAAATTTCACAGTTGCGAATCCTGCTGAATAGTGATGGGGACATAGTTCCGGTTTCAATGATATACAATACATACAGCTATCTCCTTGTGCATATAGCGTTGCCAAGGGCGGAATGCCGCTAATTTCATAACAAATTTTAATTAAAAAAATAATTTCGCAGCTAGGATTAGCTCAGTAAAATATTATAATTGGATTAAAATAACGCATTTTAGAAAAAAAAACAATACTAAATCTGACAGAAGACATGCTAAGGTCTGTTAAAACAGTCTTTTCCAAAAATTGTCGGCCTGACCCAAATTTGATATTTTGAAGACCCACACATGGCCTTAACTTTCCTTATTGTAATGTAATTTGAAAAATATAGCTTTTTGACAGTGAGTTAACAGAAGATGGGGCAGAAAGGGTAAAGAAATATGTGCTATATAGAGAGTAACCAGTGAACCTATTGTGAGTTTCTAGGTACCGAAGTTAAGAACTTCAACATATTGATTTCTTTTAGATCTCATATTCAGCCTCATAAAATGTGTACCAAGTTGTCAACATTTGATGGGAAATAAAACTGTGAAAGCACACTGGTTACCCTGCCTCAATATGTTGTGGTCTAGAAAACAGTGTGCAACAGTTCACACCCCAGCTGAAGTTTCTGTGATGGGACTCTACATATGGGGAAAGATGCTTGTATGTACATGCACTTTTTTTCTACCGTGGTATATTTTATACACTTGTTCACTCAAAGAAATTCTAATTTCATGTGCAGGTAAATGGAGTCAAGAAAGGAAAAGAGAGTCTGTCTGTTGTAAGTAATGTCTTTTTATTTGGGGAATGAGAAGTATATGTTGAATAACTTATATAGCCACCGCCGAATTGCGTACTTCCAGGGACTATACCGCCACCGCCGAGAGTATCCCCCACGCCGCTCATGCGACGTGGATTGGGGCTAAACTAGGTGGCTAGGACTCACGAGCAAATAAAATGAAGGCAGCTGCAGGAAATGCGGTAGCTGCTGCTCATGAATCCCAGCCATCTTGTTTAACCCCAATCCACGTAGCGTGAGCAGCGTGGGGGATACTCACGGTGGTGGCGAAAGTGCGCAATTTAAGTTCACAATTGACAAGTTGACTGAGGCCCTGTTAGGGTATATTTAATTTGGGACCGTTATTCGGAGGATAGCCAAAAGTGAGACACAAAAAAGTGTATCTTTTGATCTTGAGAAGTAATGACAGACTAATAAACTCACAGAGATGTCACTCAAAGTGAACATTCTCAACAACACAGATATCACTAGTGTATTCACAATGCAATGGCATTTGGATGTACCTAAAACTGAAATAGTAAGGAGAATGACTAAAAACTATAACTATTCATTACTTGATTACAGGACCACATTGTGAATATCTGTTTTCATGTAACATCTTTTTTTATATGAGGGACTATACAAATCACGATACAGAATAATAAGCTATCACTAAACATAACAAGAGAGTAAAAGATCCCTTCAGGTGTATTGGGAATATAGGGCTAGACCTATATTTTTATAGACCAGTCTTCACCAGTCTAGTAGATTATGTGGTCAGCATCACGCCGGCCGCCTTAACTTCCCAGGACTGCACCTGGTACCCTACTCAAGGCTGGCTTGACCTGGGAGTCAATGTCGTTTTTGAAAAAAGTCCGGCTCCTTCGGGACGCGAACCCATGACCTTCCGATCCGCAGGCGGATAACAAGAGAGTACCCAAGATGAAAATGGGTTAATAACATAGACATTCTATGTTCACACAGAGTGACAATAGCCATTGTAGACTATCGAGCATTGAGTCGCAAACTGTCCCTCCCACGACTCTTATTGGCAACAGTGGGGGTAGAAAATGACAATAAAACATAAGCAAATGATATATTTGACTAACTGCACTGCTGCAGCAAAACTGAACTTCTGATTGTTATGTCTGTGTCTGCTTCTGTTTTCTTGTAGTGTAATTGTAATTGTCACTTTATGCAGGATGAACAGCTGAGAGGCATAATTGATCATTCACGTGAGATTGAGGAGCAGTACGGACACCTGTTTGACTTCATTCTTGTCAATAGTGATCTGGACCAGGCGTACACCGAGTTGTTGGCGGAAATCAACAGAATTGAAGTAGAGCCCCAGTGGGTGCCTGCAGCTTGGATTAAGTAACAAACAGGCCTGACAGAACACAGCTGTGGCAGGCCAGGTTGTGTAGAGATTTAACATCACTACCAACAGTTGTGTGTGTTTAGAGGGAAATCATTCTGAAATCTGACTGCTGTGCAGACTTGACAGAAATACTTGAGACAATTTGAGAGTTTTCTCAACAATCAGAGCCAGTATCAGAAATTATTGTAGTTCTCGTAAGAATGTAATGCTAGTAGAGACAGAAAATGCTTCTTATCTGTTGTACAGTCTTTGAAATGTGGGTGCAGATGTTCTAGTGGTTGGGAAAGGATTCTTTAGCATGAGAAATGATAGGGTTGAATCCCTGGTAAACAAAAAGTATGTATCTACTGAAGGTAAAATGAAAGAAATTCAGTCTATACATTATGTGCAACCAGTTGGACAAATATCCTTTTCCTGGACCATCATTGGACAAATGTACTTTTCTGCCCAGAATAAATCAGTAAGGTAGCAACATTTTATAGTGATCAGTTGTTCTACAACACAGGAAACACTGTGATAATGATGTAGAAATGTCTAGTTTAACCTTTATTGTGTGCTCTAAAATATATGTTTGGGGAATAGTTTTTATTCACTGTAGGAATACAGAAGTAAAAAAACAACATTTGCATTGGTCCATTGGTTTTATTTCTTCAGTAATGTTAAAATGCAGCCATTGGTGATCATTTAGGCCAGCAGATGTAGTCACTGTTAAAATAGCTGACATAGGTAACTTTTAACCCAGAAACTTCTCCATGAAGTAGGACAACGCAGACTTCATATATCACTTTCCAAAGATTGGAGGTGCACTAAGGGCAAATGAGTGGATAACAGTTCGTGGCAGTGTAGACTGCTGACAGATGTTAATGTAGATTTTCTTATTTATTTTAAACACATGAACAGTCTCATATTATCTGTAATTTTTGTGACTGGAATCAAACTGACTTTATTTGCTTTTACTTAAAGTTACTATTATTGAAACGTATGTTTATGAATAGATCTAAACTTTTATTTGGTCAGCTTGTACAAGCACTGATTGGAAATTTTCTGTCAAAGATCATATATCGGTATATGATCACCACATGACATTTTTTTTTTTTTTAACAACACTTCATTTTTGTATGCACATCACTACTTTTAGGCAGATTGTGATTGGAAATCTGTGTTCTGTCATCTGCCATCAGCTGGGAGTGCTGCATGAAGAAGACTATTTTCAGTCCTGAATGTTTATCTATTCATATTAAGTAAACAGATGAGCACATACCCAAGCAAACAACACCTTAGTTTGTGACATTGATTTCATAGATAATGGCAATGTCACTCTTTTGTAAACCATTAACAAATGATTAGCTACTTAGTCTTTCCTCTTGAGACTTGAGCGGTGCATTGGGCAGAGGTCATAGCTCTCCATGTCTAGCAGTTCAGTGCCACCTGTTGTAGATCCTGGATGTTTATTAGGCCCATGGTTGAGCCTTCTCTAATGGTGGTTCTACGCAGGGTCCCTCTTGGTCTTCACCATTTTCTTTTCCCTTCCGGTGTCCTTTTGAGGGCTTGATGGGGGAGTCTTGTCTTATCCATTCTGAATGCATGGCTGATGTAGTTCCAGCGGCGCTTTCTTACCTAGGTATTTAAAACTGTTGATTCTTTTCAAGAATATGATTGTTTAGCTTGATGTTGTCTGAACTATTGATATGATTTATTTATTTTATTTTTGCTGTCTTAATATAGAGACCAAGTTGTCCTTAAACATTTAGGAGATATTTTTTTTAAATTGGAAATCTTGGGGTGTTGAACTCAAAAATAAAGTCAAGGTCTTCTATAATTTTTTCAACCCCAAGAAAGATTATACAAGTTAGTATTTTCCAGTCAACAATATCTTCTTTATTCATATTTCAACTTTCTTTTCTCTTGTTCTTTCAGCTTTTTTAACTCTTTTGGTTCCAAGAAACACATCAGGCATTGAGTTAAAACTAATTTAAAGGTCCTCTGATACTGATAGAGTTAAAAAGAAATCTGCTGACAGTTGCAAATGTTCTTCAATTTTCCCCACCATTGGTTGCCATCCATCTTTTGGTTTGTAAAGGATCCCTATCATTGAACCTGAATCTCCTCCAGTGATCCAACCTCCTCCTGTATATCACACAAGGGGAGTCAGCATGCACAGTTCACACACACAGTAGCGCCAATGAGGATCCAGTTCCACTGTCTTGTGAGTCAGCTTTGCTTAACCCTGTTGCCTCAAGAAACTGCCAAACTGTGTAAAATTTCCAATAATGTAAAGGTGATTAGACACTGCTTAAAAAAAAAAAAAAGCGTCACATACAACATCACTAAATCAAGAGTGAGAATGGAGGTGGAGGCAGTAATAGCAGCTTGCTGATGGCTTGAGAACAGCACAGCCTGACATGTAATTGTGACAGATTCACAGAGCATGCTTGAAAAAACTGACACTGGTATCCTGCAGGCACAGTGGTTTGCATCACTTGATAAGACCAAGATCTAGAGTATACAGATTTTCTGTCCGGGATATTCAGGTGTTCAAGGTAATAAGCAGGCTGATAGATTAGCTGCCACTCCTCTGGGTGATAATCTACTAAATGATAAAGCGGGTGTGGTGAAGGTTCTGTATGATCATATGGACAATGGAAAAGAACAGATAGGGAATCCATACACTGAAAGATTCAACGGGGTCTGTCTACGAGGTTCTGGAAGTGATTTGAGATTGAAAGGGAAACAGAGGCAGACTTTTAATCAGTTTGCAGGTGGTACAATTAGCATAATAACTCATCTTTAGTTACTGAAGAAAAGGACGGAGCACATATGGAAATGTCCAGATTGCAGTGATGTAAATTGATTCATTCTCCATAAATGTCACTTTTTTAACTTATGTACAGTAACTTGTTTACGAGGCAAATAGTTAATGCTATTTGCTGAATTCACATCTGTGCAAACAGATCGGAAGTCAGGATAGGAATAAATTAGCTAAAAGTAGCATTTAGGGAGAATTTCCAGCAGTCCAGGCGGCTTTTTTTAAGCCAAGTTGCTGTCCAGTTTTCCTTAAACCTCAGTGATATAGGTCACGGCATGAGTCACTTGAAATATACTGTTATTTAGGCCTTGAGGAATGTTTTCTATTTAATACTTCACTTTATGTTTATTGGTTACCTCCTTAAAGAATCTATAAGCTAAGGGCCCTTTTCACGCCTTCAGACGGACTGGGTATATAAGGCTAGACCTATATTTTTGTAGACCAATCAACACTCTGTGGGTATGAGGTCAGCATCACCCCGGCCGCCTTTACTTTTCACGACTGCACCTAGTACCCATTTAAGGCTAGGTCGACCTGGAAGCCAAGGTCATTTTCTTACAAAAAAAAGTCCAGCCCTGTCAGAACCTGAACCCATGAGCTTCCTATCTGCAGGTGATCATTTGGCCACTAGACCACAGCAGCTGCTCTTGAAATGTCTAGATGAACAATATAGATCATGACATGTTCACAAATGTTCATTTACTGACTTGTCAACACATTTTTTCTCAAGGCATTTTTTTTAACAATTCCCACTGGGTTCTGATCCAGTCTATTTTTAGCATTGGCGGAGTGACAGGGTTAAATCTAGTCACTTCTTTGGTCCTGTTATATTATAAATAGGGCTGTACCGAATAGTGATTTTCACTATTTGGCCGAATACAAATAGCTGGACCAACTATTCGGCCGAATTCGAATACGAATAGTGAATCATCATCATCAGGTGCTTTGCCGACTGGCATGGGCGATTATGCCTCGCCACAATCTGCGATCTCCTGCAGCATGTATTAGTTCGTGTGCTGACACACCTCCATGCCATATAACAAGACTGTCAAGAATCTTCTGACGTTGTCTTCCTCTATCCCTCCTTTCACAGATCTTTCCAGTGGTCACCACATGTTCTATTTTCCCTCTTCTCTCAAAAATGATGACTGTCTCCTTCTGATGTCTGTGATTAGTTGTCTTCGGGCTCCCACCTCTTTTAAAACCTCTTGGTTGCTTTTTGTGTGGCTGCCCTAGGTATTTTAAGCATTGTTCTGTAAAACCACATCTCTGAGGCCTCCAGAAATTGTTTGGCCTGCCTACCGATGTTCTTCATTTTATAAAATGCATTTTTGCCCGTCATATTCTGTTTTTTTATTTCAGTAATGCTTCTTCCATCTGATGTTATCCATGTGCCTAGATACTTAAATTTCTGTACTTGTCCCAAAATAAAACCATTGACTTTTATTACACATTTCGGAATAATTATTTTCTTTGATTCCACCATTACTTTTGTCTTCCCACTAATCAAACTGAGGTCCATTCTTCCACTTTCGTGTATAAAATAGATCTAAAAAGAAAACATCCATAATGTCAAATGTACATTGAAATTTTACTTCACAATGTAATACAGGATAGTAAACATTTAAAAACATTTCATGTTTTGCATCCTTCAGTCAGTCAGTCTGTGGTAACTAATACATAGCAATGAAAGTAATCTTAGTTTTATAACAAGTAACTAATCTTGTAAATTGTCACTGACATCTTAGTTAATCCATGAAAACGGCATTAGCTTTCTCGTTCTATGTTGTCAGCATTAAGGCAGCTTCTTGTCTATGAACCAAGGTGGGGAATCTTGATATGTTTTTTTTTTTCTACCAGTGCAGAAACGGGTGTAAGGTAACCACTATTCGTGTTCAGCCTGACCACAACAATTCAGCCGAATACCAAATAGTTATTAGGTCCACTATTCAGCCCCAAAGCGAGTACGAAGCGAATATTCGGTACAGCCCTAATTATAATATTGATTAATTTGAGTGCTGTCATTGTTTAGAAGTGGCTGCCTCAAACCTGGAGTTTTCACTATAGATTTCAGTGTTTCAAACGTCTAATGTGTCCTCTGCTCTCTTTTTGCTTTCTTCTACTGCTGTAGTGTAAATCAATACCTAGGAATTGTTTCTCAAAGTAATTTGTGTTGGATTGTTTAACCTCTACT